CTACTACGCGCAGTGCACATTTTACGGTTCCCGACGACGGCACAGCTGACCGGCGCGCGCGGGAAACTTTGAACATCATCGGGCGTAGCGCAGCGCCACCTGCCGGGCGGAATCCGATCGCTCCGGGTCAACACGTCGCTGCGCGTATCCGACGGCAATAATTGATTATTATTTCGACGAGCATTTCAACGGCCCACGAAAACATTATCATTGCAACAATTTTATAATAACAATAATAATAATACAGTCATAGCCAATAGGAATAATTTTAGTGAATTTTCCATTTTAAATTTAGCTTGCCCAATTATTTATAATAATAATAATATAATATAGGTAGATATTACATAATATATTATGAAGATAATTTTCTGCCGATGTATTTCTATGCATGGCGCGCATTGCATTTGCTCTGTTGCGATGTCGGTTTTAGATTCTTCTAAGCGGAGCGATGAATGTATTGGTTCAACAATTATGACTTGTTAATTGTTTTTTAACTTATCTTTCTTGTTCATTTTTAGTGATAAAAAATGTTCTTGCATTGCACTTAGAGAGAGGTTTCTGTCAGAAAAATGGATAAAGTTTGTGTTTTGAAGTGGTCAAAAGTTAAGAACGCATGGTTTTTTTTTCTATTTTTCCAAAATAACCGAGAAGAAACCCAAAAACGGGGAATATTTACCTAAAATCATTATTTTATCAATTCGAAGACATGATTAGACTTCAATAGACCAGGTGGTCGTTTAAATATTAAAAATATTTAAATTTTTTATTTTTTTCTACTATTTCTCGGGCGATTTAAACTTCCTTTGTTCTCCAACCCCACTTTGCATCTTGAAATCTAAAAGAAAAGATGTAGTGTTGAGATAAAATGAAAATTATTACAGCCATTGTAGTCATGGCAATTAAATTTTTTTGGAGAAAAGAAAAATATACAACACTTTGTTGTAAAATAATAAAGAAATAATATATTGAAAAAAAATTTAACCTAGGAAACTAGGTATAATATATCACAGATTCATAGATGATTCAATTTTTTAAGAATAATTGTCTGATAATTAGGTATTAATGTATTTTTATAATTATTTTAATAATACATAACAATTAGTATTGTGTTTCAACATACTATTATTCTAAATAGGTACGTGTCTTTTAGATCGCTACCTTTTTTCGAATTCCTGTGATATGTAGTAGGTACATTATACGTAACCGGACGTGCGTGCTTGCACAATACAATATTTTGATATTATTACAGTTTGTAAAAGTCTCCCACTCGTCCAGAAAGGAAGTACGATTCGTGCTTAAAACCTTAGCCACAGAAGTAAGTGAAAGAAGTAGTGTGTTGAACTAATCATATCTTATAGGTGAATGTATTATCATAATTTTATAAATTGAAATAGACTTATAGTATATGTATTTTAATTTAAAACGTTTTCGATGAGAATATAAAATAAACTTACTAAAATTATATTAATATTTAATACTTGTAATTTAATATCAGTTGCTATTTTTCATAAGATAATGTGTGTCATTTAATATAATTAACTTCATTTGTATTTAATATCTTAAAGAACATATATTATTCAGTTGCATCTTTAACAGTCAAATTTAAATGTATTATGATAACCAAATATTAAATTCTATCATATTAAATCGATGTTGAGCAATTAAGTTTGTTTTTTTAGTTTTACATCATATAAGCATAGTAATATATATAGCATAGCAATAATATATGCATTATGCATACAATATACTATGTTATTGTATGCGTGTACAGTAGTACAGTACATAAATAAAACCGCAGAAAAACTTGTTTTTAGATTGTAACAGTATAAGGTTGTAATGTTTTATTCTTCAAAATACTATTTTTTTAAAATTTTTTGAAAGTAACTTTTATAAAAATGTGACTATTTAGTTCAATAATAATAAATAAAATAAAACTGCAAAATTCATAATACCATCCAACTTACCTGATTAGATATTCATTTTATATATATTATGTAGTACCTATGTCTAGACAGTTTGGAAAACTTATTCGCACAATTTATACATATAAAACGTTTCTAAACTTTCTATTTACAGTGTACGATGTAAATAATATAATCTATAGATAAAGTAGGTATCATAGTAATATTGTACTTAATGTACAAAAAAAAGTCTTGGTAGGTGCTCGGATATTATGACATCTATAAATAGTGACATGTGATATGATGTATTAAATGTCAGTGTAAGTACTTGGAACAATGATCGCGAGCAAGTGGCAATCAGAACTGCTGCAGGAACGGCTGTTGCACCTCGCCAACTGCAGCTGCACGCGTGTAACTGTCGATCCTATATGGCTCGAACTCATGCATTATTAAAAAATCGCTGTCCATCTTTCAAATGTGCAGTAATCGGTTGACGTAAAATGAGTTTATTTTTGTTAGAAAAATATATCTTTATTATAACATAACAAATAAAACAAAGGGTTTCAGTAGGCTATTTTATATTTTCCATGTGTATCTGATACCTACATCCAAGATCGCAATATGAATCACGTGACTTCTCGGGGGTATTCAATACAACACACGCGACGTACTACCACTACCATGGTTGTATAATACGCCTATAAGCGTAGTTCTTTATTATATGAGGTTTAAGAAATATTCGATTTTCGTTATCCAGAACTGCTCCTCTATGCGACCTGCTATAGGCTCTTACAACGAGGGTATAAACGTTCCCCTAGTTCCGGGAATAATATTGCATGTGATTTGGTGCCAATTGGTTCAGCGTGGTTACTACAAGTGTATAAGTCCCACGATACAGACGTACGCGTTAATTTGTGTATACAGACAATACTATAAACAAATATATACCTATGGCCCACATTACACTCGTGGGTATATGTATGACGTCTCGTCATCTATGCAGTGTGTTGTATTTGCCGCGACGAGACGGGGTCAAAAGGTGTTCGCCGGCGGCGGCGGCGGGGGCGGCGTTTTTAGCGGGCGAATAAGCGTACTTATACCGTACACATAATGTACACGGCCGCATAGTCGCATTGCCGAGCTGCCGACCCGATCGATATGATATATATATACATAATTTATATAATATATATATTATAATATATTATATGCGTATATATTATATGTATGTACGTGTGTATACAGGGTATCCAAAGTGGTGTCCCTCCCCCCACCATTCACGAGATGTACCAATGTTTTATAAATTGCGCCAGGATACTATTCTAATCGATTTATTATATCGGAAAGAATAAAAAAATATATTATCAGGTAAAACCACGTCATACACATTTGTTCACATTTTCGTTCTGCGTTTATATCGCACGCGATCGTTTTTTAAATTAATCGCTTCATAAAAAAAGATTAGAAACGTATGACAGATTCACTGCACACGAGAGTCACTGGAGCAGGTGATTTGACTGGAACAAAAAAAAAAAACATTCTCGTAGTTGTCCGATGGAAAGTTCACACGCTCTGCGTAATACACACGTCCATCTTATGATTTGTAATAAATTATGCGAGCCAAACACTCGAAAATCGTTTTTGAATCTCACTACACTGCACTGCAGCAGCTCGGGTCCGGTGCACCCTGTATGAGAGTGCCTATATAATATATGCAGCTTTCGCGTATAACAATAATAATAATAATAATAATAATAATAACAACACAAGAGGAGCAGACAACGACCATGGTATAGAACATATATATATATATTATATTATGTATAATGTACACTGTACCGTATAATCGTGGTAGTCGTGCGTATAAAATAATCGCGATGCTCAACGGCCCGACAGAGCGCGCTCGTGGCGTAAATGTCCGCCACCCCCGCAACCCGCAAAAGTCAGCCGGTCGGTTCGCGCGGATTCCCCGTCGTCCGCCGCCGACTACTGGCGGCACGCACTCGCTACTACTACTGCCGTTACTACGCGCGACTACTACTACTACTACTACTACTACTACTACTACTACTACTACTACATCTATCACTACTACCACTTACGTGTTACCGCTATAATCATACAGAGTGTTACTCTTCTTTTGTAGCTGTTTCCGACAGTGCAACGAACGATTTCAAATTGTGCAACCAATATTGAGAAAAATCGGCTTAATATATATTATTACACCATCATAGGTAATAAAAACACTATAATCTCATTCTCGAGAAGGGTAGACGTACCTGCGAAATGTATTTTCAGTACTCAGTAGTCACAATGTAATAAAATAGTACGCACTACTATCACTAGTCACTACAAACACTAACGCGTTACGACTGTACAAGCATAGCATATTATAAGCACACAAGGTTATCCATTTTAGTTATAGTTATTACCTGAAGTGTAATGTTAAGACGCAAAAGGCCATGATAAATTTTAAATCGTACAAAATTGAGAAAAGTCTACTCAATACACGACGTGTCCTGGGGGGAGGGAGGACAACCAGCTTAGAAGCAGAATAAAATTTATTTTCCAAAAATTCTGATGTTTTAAATGATTGCAAATACAATTTTGTAGTTTTTATCGCACTGACATAAACATTTTGTGTTGTCATGATTGGAGTAAATTGAGAAACGGGTATCCTCTAAAGTGTCATGGTCCACTATATTAAATAATAATTTAAATAATAATATTTTTCGATATTCAAATGCACAGGTATTTTTTATGAGACGCTACTAAATAAAATAAATCTTAAAAATCAGAAACATAATTTTGAAGTGCTAATCGGTATAGTGCAGTCTTTGAACACTTCAAATTAAAACAATAATATATTACATACCTACTTATATAATAATTCGAACTATTAGAGTAAATATTTTTTTTTTAATCAACTCCAAAAATCAAGATTTGAATAACTATGATATTAAATGCCTCATTAAGCGAAAAAAAAGGGTGAGCATGCTCGCAGGCGAATCACCCTGTACATAACACACCACAGCATGCTTTACGAAAATAATAATAATAATACTCGAACCGGCGCGTCGTGCCCGCAGACAGCTGGGGGCCGTTTCGCCGCGCGCACGCACACCGCACCGGTCGCGAGTAGCCGTCGCACCGTTTTTGCGTTACTTCCCGTTCGTCTTCCGGGTCGCGGAACCATGCGACATCTCGCCGCCGCTGACGGTCTGCCGCGGTGTCCGAACCGCGTAGTCACTCCGTCACCACCGACATCGTCACCGTCACCGTCGTCACCGCCGTCACCTGCTCGACCGCCCGCTTACCACTTGTTGACGGCCACCGGAAAACTCGTCGCCGATGAGTCGCGGTTCTTTTTCGCAGCCGTTTTTCCTCCGCACCAATGTCCACAGTTTCCTTGAGAGGAAACTCACAATAATTATTATACATTATTATTGCTATAATTGCCATCGTGGTACGATAAAACTCGCACACCACAACGTTTAGGCATAGGTATTTTATAGGCGATAAACTGTTACGCGCTTCAATCGTCGACTTGTCGGGTGGCGAGATCGACTATCGACGAACGAGAGCTGCGAATCATTTAAATACCATTATAATATCATATATTATAAATATATTATAAACATGGAGTTTCCGAGGTACGTCTATATTATCAGCTATATACCTATAGCGGTAACGTTAGTATTACTGTTGCATGATGATATAGTTGTTGTAGACAGGAGTAGTATAATACTATTATAGTAATAATATCAATTAAAAAAGTACAAATACAAAATACGCCATGTAGATAATTATATTATAGTCCGTTAAAAAAATGCTGAAAAGGTTGACTTGAAAATGTTTAGTTATAAATTTCATCAAAAAAATGTATAGGCCAGTTAAACCGTGGATCAAATACTTACTAAAGTTTACAACAAACACAAGCTTGGCAATACATGTTATTGCACTAAAAATTTTAAAAAATGTAATATAGCAAATTTTTATAATAGTGTGGTTTTGCGAGACGCTTGTGTATGTGGACGTGAGTTAAGAATAATTAAGATCATCAAATATATACAGCTACCTCTAGAAACTAAAATGTAAATATCAATGTTGTGTTCGCATCGCGAAACATATAAGATGAAATTATTGTATGTTTTATATATTTTGTATACAAATGACATGGAAAAATAGAGAATTTGTATATACCTACTATACCTAAGTAATATGTAAAAAAGTATTTTATGATTCTCTCAAATAATATTATGTGTAATTAAAAGTTTAGATTGTTTTATTCTGAATCTAGTGAAACGTATACAACATAATGTCTTGTCAAAGTTGATTAGTTATTGTACTTAATAACAAAAAATATGTATTTACATTATATAAATCCAGGTATTTTAGTGCTGTTATTGTTATTTATTTACTATTTATTAAGGTACTTGCAATATTTTATAATTTGTTCTAATTGTTCTTAAAATTATCGTATATATATTTATTATATATGCAATGATGGACATCCAATAAATTTCTAATCCCTTTAATAGTACTTTGAGGTAATGACCATTTGACGGACGAAAATGGTTACAAGAATTTTACTTTTAAAAATATTTGTGAAAGGTCATTGGCTGAATTATTGCATTTCTCGCACCTCCATCATATTATGAAATATTATACCACTTATGTCAATATTATTTTATTTATTTTTACCTTAGAAAACTCCCTCATCAGAGATCTCAAGTTAGATAACATCTCCAGAAATCCACCTAGAGCCCTAGACAATAAGCTCACTAATGGTGCAGAGACCGTCTAATAAATCCAATTTAATCCTTAAATAATATAACGCAAGAAAACTATCACTGCTTCAGAGTGACTCTTTTTTATATTAGCTAATTTATACCAACCAGTTTGTACGCTTATTGTATACAAAATAAATAGTTAAGAGACTTACGGATAATAACTATTATTGGTACCTATTTAAAAATAAAAATAAAATGTATTACAAAACGGGCATCCTACCGTGGCCCAAGCACAGACAACTAACATTTTAATATTAAGTTTATTATTCAATAAGAAATACAAGTTTTAAGCAGGTGTATTCAAAATTCATATTATTCGATATGAATTATACACATGTAATATTATTATGTGTTTCACGACGAGAATGTAGGATTTCCGGGCTTGAAAACAGGAAAACACGCGTAAATAGTTTTCTTTAGTATACTATGGCAAGACCGTCTAATGTGGGGGGCAAGGGGAACATACCTCACCTGGATTTTCTGTGTCTATTATAATACGCTTATACATAAAATGTTATTATTTATATTAAAAGGGTAGATACATTGAATAGATACAATTTATGATCATAATGTCTGTCACTAATTTCTCTTTTTATACATTTAATATAATAAAAGAAATATATTTTATTCATTGACACAATATTAATATAATAAGATATTAATTAATGCGAAATATGACAATGATTATATCACATAGTTGATCTTACCGACATGACCATGGTTATGATATATTCATTCTTATCAGTTATCAACTATGGAAAAATACAGTGCCCCATGGATTTTCGAAGATGGATCCTTATACTATGATGAGTGGTGGCCTTACCGTTGGCCGGACGAAATTCTGACAGGGCGCTTTTTTTGTCCCACGTCGTTTTTCTCTCACTCATCTTCAGTTTAGTTACTGAATTTTTCTAAAATAGGCTTGTTTGATTTTCCTGTTACTACAACAAATTAATACTTCAGCTGAACTCATGATTACCTCTGTTTGAAATTTCTTCATGTCCCAATCGGATGCATCTTGGAGTTTGTTAATTTCATATTGTTCGTTCAGGTTCGAAAAATTGCTCATAACTTTTGAATTACCATCCAACAAATTATAAAAGCTATCCAACAATGTCCAACAAACGTCCAACAAAATTGTTGGATAGGTTTAATTGAATTATGTTACATGAGTACCGCTAAGTTCACGAACGCTGTTCGTTTTCCATATTTGAAAAAGAAACTCAAATATTATACACTATCAGCACGTTGAGAAACCCATGCACACTTACACTAAATTTCATTCGTGAATTATTATTCATGTACACACTGTTACAGACAGATTGTGTGTACACTGTATACATACCTGGAATTAATTAATCCTTAATTATTTTATTAACTATACACGAATTTATTATTAAGACCTTATTACAACAATAGTAGTAAGTAGCAACTATATATACAATAGTGTTACGAATCGTAACATAAATCAATGACTAACTGTGTGTACCGGCTACTGCACAGCGCAAATATGCTTTAATATTATAAAAATGTATACTCAGAGTTTTCTGCACTACAGTGCGAATAGATTACTTATAAACTACATGTTATAAGGTGTTTTGTTTATAGTTTCAACAGAGAATTCAATTTATGAAGCATCTGATTTAATTTATTATTTGTGTGACTTTATTTAATTTTAAATTTACGATGAATTTACACTTAAAAGTCTAAAGAAGGCGTACTTTTAGGAGTTTTAAACCCAAAATGTTGATACAGAAATTACTATATTATATTGGATTGATCATAATACGATTGTTGGCAGTGTGAGCTAGCATAGTACCGTTATTTTTTTTGTTTCCAAATAATATTCTCTGTACTCTTAACGTAAATATTGTAAATAGACGGTTACCTTTTTAACGAACATTCCGTATTTATAGTTTTATTTAATCGTTTAAAATTAGATTGCATATTTATCCACATTTAGAAATTATTGTGTTCACCGTAATTTTTTTTTTCTACCTAATTATAGCTGTCCATATCGAGATCCAAACAGATTATGAATAAAAGGAATTTAATATAAATATCAAAATAGGTACTTCATAAAATATTACTATAATATGAATATTGAATATACAAGAGGATAAAGATCTGTACGGTATCTTATCAATTTTGTATCCTAGGCTACAAGTTCGTTCATGCACGACTATAATTTATTTACGATGATGATTTTTTTAGTAGCAAACAAGTGATTTATGTGCTGTATTATACACATTTGGTTTAGTAGTTGCCAATTTGCAGAATAAAATAATATCCCTTCTTTTTTAAACATGGAGGTGGATATACACTCATTTGAATTAAATATAGAATTTACATTTCTAATCGATTTTAAAAGAATTATTACTATGTTCTAGTTAAAAAGATAAACCAAAATACAAAAATGTGTTTAAGATTCAGAAAATGTTTTTCTAATTGAAAACAAGAGTTTCATCAACGAGCAGAATACTCATATATATTAAATCAAATTATTTTTGAATAGTTAAATCTTTTTACTTCAATAGTAAAGTTATGGAATGTAAATAATAAATTTCACTTATTGTAAAATATAAAAAAAAAATATACATTTGTTAACCATGATTGTTCTTTAATATATTTCTTGGGCCATATTATGAAAATTAAAATTAATAAAAAATAACTTGATAAAGTTTTTTATACAAGACGAATTTATTAACTTTTATATTTTAGATTCTGAACAGAGCGATTTACAATGATGTGTTCTTTGTATTTTTTTTATTGTTTATCATCACCATTTGGAGCAGCAATAATGCCACTTAGAATATGGTTTTTTCTTGTAGAAAACTAAATCTAGAATTTAAACTTTGAACCTCATGTTCTTCATTCTGAGTATTTTGTAAAATTAACTAGAATTGAGAAACCAGCTACATTATTTAATTATTCTAATTTCTAGGTGAACGTTTGATATGTTGATATATAATAGATTAATTTGTTAGTGTCTCTTAGCTAAAACGTAATTTACCTCTAAGGCATTTTCAGAATTTAAATGATTCTGGCTTTTGATAACTCATCTTAATTTTATTTTCTTGAATACAAACTCTGACAAGTACGTGATCGGTGTGCACGAGGTCACATATTGATTATTTTGATTGAATTTTCAAGTTTTCAATTCGTTTAAATTAGTGTGTGATTGAATTAAACTACATAGAATAAAACACAATATAATTAAACATCCCGTATTTATTTTTATCGATATTTGTCTAGCACTCATAAGCCAAACATCTTATCTACATAAAATATACATAATATGTTTTAATGTTAGGAATACTTCAAAGCCACCATAGACTGCGTAAAAAGTAGTTTGATTAAAAAAAAGAAATGGTTTTATACTCGTGTATTATACATATTTTGTAGATTGAAACACTGCAAACTCAAAACAATAAATTGTCATAAATTTAATTTTGTTTAAACAGTTCGATGTAAAAATCATATCAATTATTATGTTTTGAAAGTAAATATTATGATAATTTGTTATAAAAGAAGCACTTAACTTTTTTTGAAATAATGCTACAGTCTACAGTTCTATATGTGATTAAATTTGACATTTATATATCTCAGATATATACTTCTTACTTTAATACATATTATACAAAAACCATACACAGTTTTTTGAATAATGTGCAATACATTATGGAAACATAATTTGCCTTTAAATGGTATATTATTCATAACAGTTATTGCTATATTTTTTCCTTTGATTTAAGTTATAGTTGCAACATAAACTTATCAATATGGTAATGAATTAAATAATATTTAAAGTATTTTAAACTCATACCATATTTTCATAACTCAGTGGAAAAATAGGTGGG